CAAGCCAATTGATCACAAAAGCTAGTGGAACAGAGGCTGTTTGTGACATGACTCTGTTACACACTCGATTATGACGTTTCCCCATATACAAAAACAATTATAATTCTCCTTTGGGCTTCGTCATTCTAACAGCAACATTTTAGACTCTTCATTTCAGAGGAAGCGCTCACTGAGCTCAAGCTAACGTTGTGCAGTAGTTCTTAACTGTATAATAAGTTAAAACTATTAGAGTTACAGTCATTGGAACCTTGACATGTGAAAAGGCGGTGTTGACCATTTGCAAACCTTCATTGTGAAGCTCTTACACAAACTTTTTTTAATGGTGTTTGTTTTCCTTTACTTAAGCGGAAGCAAGGCTAATAGAGCAAACCTCATCATATGAATTTAACCACACATTAAAGTTGTCACAATTAGGGCTAGCTATTCGAGCAGCTTCCAGGTTTCTAGTTTGAATTGCTCAATGTGATGGAGGGACATTAAATAAAAGCATTCAGTTATGATCCTGCTAATACCTTTGAGTTTTGTATTGGTTAGTTGGTGTGTGTGTTGTGTAGCGGGGCGTTGCAGGTAAACAACATGTATGCACTCTCTGTCAACGTAACCAGGATAAATGAAGGTTAAAAAAACATTTACTAAGATGGGAAGGAAGTGAGGTACCATGTGGGTGTTCGAGTGAGCGTGTGTGTGGTTCCGTGGCTTTTTAATGTCATCTAGCTTAATCAGATTAACACTCAGAATCCTATTAAACACACACAGACACACACACACACTAAAACTCACGTGGGACTAGAGGAGGTGAGACATCTGCTCAAACTGAACCGCTCACAGCGTCTTCCGTTCTTTGTCTTCCTTTTCTTTCTATCTTTTCTTTCTTTTTTTCTTTCTCTCGAATCTCAATCTGAACTGGTAATGAACCTTCCCGTTTTCAGTCATCACTTCTAGAAAACATACATGCTTACACATCCACGTTTCGTACCGACTTGCCTTATCACACACGAACGCACACAAAGGCATACACGTAATTACACTTACACAATTAAACGTGTTAGAAAAGATGTGGCAGCCGAGGAAAGAGGAAGGGAGGCTTCCTGTCTTTGCTCTGCAGTGCAGGTAACTGTGAAGTGTGTATGTGGAGGACACTCACACACAGTGTACACACGTCTGAAGAACACACTTTGTTGGTTAAACACATTAACAGAGAAAAGTGCAGTTTACTAAAAGTGTTTAAGTTTGCAAAGGGGATCATTATAAATACTTGAAGCCCCGCCCCGTTTTCTATGTTAGCTTCTGATCAACCAGCATCTGTAACTCTGTACATTTTCTCAATGGGCGTCATAGCAGTTGGTGTGTCAGCCTGTGTCCCATGGCTGTTGCTGCTATGACACCTGCATTTCCCCACAGGGACCAATAGAGGTTTATCTTATCCTATCTTAAGGCCGTGTTGTCCCAGTGACCGCAGTCAAGTTTACCAAAAGACTGTTGAAAGGACACTTAAAACAAAAAAAGACTGTATAAAAGATGTTGTAACGCTTCTCCCAAACATAAACATAAATGTCCAAAGTGCCCCCGTGTTCAGATCATTTAGCTGGATCTCAAACTGGAAAACAACATTTTAAATGAGAGAAATATCATATTAAGTAAATGATTTGCATCGATCCACACATCGTTTACATCCGATGCTTCTTTCTTGTCACTCGAGCGCAAACAAAAGTCTTCATTTACATAACGTCTAGTTTTACAACCAAACGATAGCGCTGCTAATGTATTGAAAAGAGTTTGGTTTGCTGCATGAAGGTGAACATTTCTGACCATTCCAGCCTCTGTTCTCTCTTAATGAAAAACAGAACTACATGTTTGCAGTTATATATTTAAGCAATAGCTCACGACAGGCCGTGGTATATGCTCATTATATCACAGCTAAGAACCAATCAGATTGCTTGATTTGACTTGTCCGTTTTATAAAGACTGTTATATTTGAAGTACTGTCTTCATGTCTACTGTCTTCATGTCTACTGTCTTCATGTCTACTGTCTTCATGTCTACTGTCTTCATGTCTACTGTCTTCATGTCTACTGTCTTCATGTCTACTGTCTTCATGTCTACTGTCTTCATGTCTACTGTCTTCATGTCTACTGTCTTCATGTCTACTGTCTTCATGTCTACTGTCTTCATGTCTACTTCTCATGTCTACTGTCTTCATACTGTTTCATGTCTACTGTCTTCATGTCTACTATCTTCATGTCTACTGTCTTCATGTCTACTGTCTTCATGTCTACTGTCTTCATGTCTACTGTCTTCATGTCTACTGTCTTCATGTCTACTGTCTTCATGTCTACTGTCTTCAATGCTGTGTGTCTTCATGTCTACTGTCTTCATGTCTACTGTCTTCATGTCTACTGTCTTCATGTCTACTATCTTCATGTCTACTGTCTTCATGTCTACTGTCTTCATGTCTACTGTCTTCATGTCTACTGTCTTCATGTCTACTGTCTTCATGTCTACTGTCTTCAATGCTGTGTGTCTTCAGTCAGACACACAGCAGACAATAAAACATGCTGTAGGTTACTGCTATCGTGTGTTGGAATCACACACACACACACACACACACACACACACACACACACACACACACACACACATATATATACACACACCATTTTTTATAAAAGTACCCAATCTAATAATCCGCTCACACACATTGTGTGTGTGTGTGTGTGTGTGTGTGTGTGTGTGTGTGTGTGTGTGTGTGTGTGTGTGTGTGTGTGTGTGTGTGTGTGTGTGTGTGTGTGTGTGTGTGTGTGTGTGTGTGTGTGTGTGTGTGTGTGTGTGTGTGTGTGTGTGTGTGTGTGTGTGTGTGTGTGTGTGTGTGTGTGTGTGTGTGTGTGTGTGTGTGTGTGTGTGTGTGTGTGTGTGCTTCCTGTTCTCTGTACATTTGACTGCACCTTTATGTTTACATACACATGCCTCTCTGTTTGTTCCTTCATTATGTATGTGTGTATATTTGCACTCCTATTGTGCACATGTGTGTGAGCACATGATGTTGGCCTACAGTATGTGCTCATACATGTGTTACCGAGGCCGACGGTACAGTGTGTGTCTGGCCCATATGTCCCACGATTATAAATAGCATCCGAGCTGCGGTCCTGTTTTATTCTTTGGTCTATTTTCAAAATGATAGTGTGTTTTAAATAGGACATGGGTACAGAACCCAAAGTAGAGAAAGGTGTGTGTGTGTGTGTGTGTGTGTGTGTGTGTGTGTGTGTGTGGTGTGTGTGTGTGTGTGTGTGTGTGTGTGTGTGTGTGTGTGTGTGTGTGTTTGTTTGTGTGTGTGTGTGTGTGTGTGATCACAGCTCAATCACATGATGCATCACATTGCATGGTCTGTCTCCATACCCGCTAACCCTCTTTTTCACTTCCTCTATTCTACAAAGTGTCTCTCTGTCTCTCTTCTTCCATTCCCTCTGTTGTTTCCTCTCTTCCTCTCTTCCTCTTTTACTTTATATAATCTCTCTTGACATCTTTTAGCTTCCCTCACCCTTTTTGTAATTCTCTTATATATCCCCCATTTTCATCAGTTAACCCTCAGGACTTCTTTCTTCTGAGAGTGCTGACTAGAATATGGTCAAAGACTGACTTATTACTTTTGCGAAAAACAGTTATTTTCTGCTCATCTGAATTGAAATCAGCAGCGTTGTGTTCTTTTGTTTACGTCTAAAAGCAGGTTACACGGCACAGAAGAGTCACAACTGCCTTATATACCCTGAAATGTGCTTCTTCATAAACACATCTTTCTTTCTTTGCCATGTTCTGCTTTCTAGCATTTCTGATTCAAGGAAACAGCAGTGTTGTAAAGTTTGTCTGGACTTAAAGAACCAATAAGATTTCAAAACAAACACAAGTTGATTCTGTTATTGGTAACCCTCATAATCATCAATCCTTTCTAAATAACGGTGACACACACACACTCACACATTAACTGTGTTTCCTTGGTAGGCATCCTGTTATTTGGTTAACACCAGCAGTGATGTTTAAGCTTAAGTTTCTCCCGATACACTACAGACACATTTCTATATGTTGGAACATCAGAAACATGACAAAAGTTATTTTCCTTCCCATCTTTCTGTGTGCTGTTAAGCAGAATCCCCTTGCCACATTAATAACATTTTGATATGTCAGAGATGCATGGTGTTAGGGGATAATTCTCCTAGATATACACCTTTTGCCCTTTGACGTTTATGACCAACCCTGACGTCTGTTATCTCCCTTAAGGAAGGGGCTGCTTCAGCCATATGTTGTTGTTACCAGTTTATGACCGGGTCACAAATGGTGTATTGTTATGGGTACACTGGAACACTTCCTTCTTGGGGTTTGTGGACTCCAAGGTGTGAAATCTTCGAGGCCATAGGCGTCAGACGCAAGTGATTCCGTGTTCCCAGATGTTTAGTCTATCTCCCCAAATGTGTTGATTACTCTCTCGGAACTAGTTAAAAGCTCTATCGAGAGAGAGGCTCTTCAGAATTGACGTGGCAACTCTACCGTGAAGTCAGAACCTCTGGCTCTGTGACTTGTGATGTGAATCCTCCGGCCGAAGCTCCTAATAAACCATCAGTGTTTGACATAAAAGCTCCTGCTCTTCCCGTGTCTCCTTCATGAGTCGGTGACTCCCACTGCATTGCTACACAGCCGTTTCTCCCACACATGGCGTGTATCTTTAAACAACGCAAATGTTTGTAGTAGAACTCTTGGGTAGCCTTGGTTCATAACCCATTAGTGCTCTCAAGACCCTTCTGATTTAACAAGTGACACTTGTTAGGGTTCCGACCCACAGGTTAGGAACCATTGAACTACAGTAAATAAAGTCGTTACAACTTAATAATCGATTAAATATATATAATAATTAGATTTTCTGCTAAGAGAGTAATCGCTTTGGATTCTGGGGTTTTGAATTGGTTATGTTTTTTTGTATTTGTGATATTTAATGTAAATACAATACTTCTTCCACCACTCTGTCAATGATGGGGAAGAAGAAATCACAGAATCTCTCTCTCTCTCTGCAGTACACTGGTCCGATCCCGGGCGAGCGAGGGGGCGAGCTGGCCATGGGGGGGGGGTCGCAGCGAGACCTCGGCACTGAGCGGGACGGGAGGGGGGCGGGCCATGACCACTACCCAGAATTCCCAACGGCCAAACGCCTGCTGCTTCTGCTGGTGCTGCTGCTGCAGCTGCTCATGGTAGGAGACAAAAACACACACACACACACTCACACACACACACACACACACACACACACACACACACACTGCATTTACACAGACAAGTTCATACAAACCAACACATGCTGCTCTAATGTAAGCACACACACACACACACAGGCCAAACAGCTGTCTGGATGTGCTGTGGTCCTGTCAGCACAGCTGTAAAAAAACTTGACAACAGTTTTTGTCAGTTAAACTCGAGAAGTGTGTGTTACATTTTTTTTAGCAACAACAATAGGTTAAGGATCTAATAACGTCTACTTTCTGTGTTGGGTGTCCTTATTCAGATGCATCTATTGCACAGAATAGCTTTTAATTGTGTAGCATTAGTTGCCCTTTCTCTCTACTGAAAAGTGTGCCGCTTGCAACCATCTCTGCTGGTGTCAGAGACTTGTAGAGGAAACACAGGCAGCCGAGTTAACCAATCACAGTTCCTGTGGTTTCCACTTTGCAGCCACAGGAGCATGCATGGATACATGCTACATTTCTAAAGAGGTGCAGAGGAGCCTTTGGTGTTTTGGGGCTGCACAGTTGGTAGTGTTACAAGCATGTCAAAGACAAAAACAGAGGTGTGTATGATTAAGAAGGATTTATTGTCAGAAATGACTTTACTCTCGTTGAAACTAAGACAAATCTACATTATTCAATCACTTGCCTAGCTCTTATGCCAACTTTTTGCTCACCAATAAACTGTACATTGTCAGGATGTCACCAATCTTTTAAACACTTTTTTATGCACTATGAACGTTTTATTTATACAAAACCTCCAAGGAATAAAACGGGAGTCCTAATTGACCTTGTTTGACCTTTTACTTTTTTAGATTTCTGCAAGAACCACTGTATCACACCAATATCTCCAGGTATTAGTCAAACTGTAGCTGTGCAGTGATTAGGTCTCTGTAGCTCCCACAGGGGACCTCATCATTTACAGCTCTCTCTCTCACACTCACACACACACACACACACACACACGCACGCACGCACGCACGCACGCACGCACCCATGCATGCACACACACACTGCACATGTAGACACCTGCTTGTCTTACAGTTGGCTGTTAGCATTACTGTGGGTAGTGTTATCATTAAATGAGGTAATAACATATTTGAAGGTTTATAGTTTTAACCGCAATTACTCTGTATCAGCTGTGGTTTTTTCGTGTGTGTGTGTGTGTGTGTTTCCCTCCTGAGAGCAGTTTAATCATGTCAGTCTCTCCCTGTCAGGAATGAAGAGGAGAGACGGAGGAGGAGGAGGAGATTATCACAGGACACCAAGATGGAAACCATACCAAACTGTGAAGCTTGGTGAGTGCGCAGTGCCTCTCACACACAGACACACGGAAACACACACACGCGCACACACACTTGGTTTGGTTTGGTGCATAATTAGGAAGATTTGTGATAATTTTCTTGAACCTCTGCTCTCTCTTAATCTAAAACAAAAATGTGTATTTCCCTGCTCGCACATTATAAAGTTGTGATTAATATAAACTTAATATAGTCAATATAATTGTTCCAATGCAAACATTAAGCATGGGCATGCTAGGATTTGGGACCTGGTATTGGTGTTAGCTAAGGAGTCATTAGGATTCATCCTCTGGGGACCATCAAAATAAAAGTCAAAGTACTTCTTTACCACTATATATAAAATGGATAGTCCAACTTTGTTAATGGTCTTTGCTCTATTGAGTGCTTTTAACTACTTCTACTTCTAAATGTAGGATGAATTGGATTGTATACAATCTTAAACACGGATTCACGGTCAGAACATTTTTTTCTTTTTGTATCAGTTAAATCAGAAACATAACTCATGCTGTAACGCAGAGTGACGTTGTAATTCTATCCCAATCCTCTTTTGTAATCAGTAAGCTATAAGATTTGGACCATGACAGTCATTTGACAAAAAATACATTAATACAAAAACCAATGAGGAAATTAACCAACTTTCCGCTCTTCTTCGTCAGCACCAAACCCTCAATGGAAGAGATCCGGCTGTGGTCTCAGTCCTTCGACAAGCTGATGAAGAACCCGGCGGGTCGAAATGTTTTCCGTGAGTTCCTACGGACGGAGTACAGCGAGGACAACATGCTGTTCTGGCTGGCCTGCGAAGACCTCAAACAGGAGATCAACAAGAATGTCATCGAGGAGAAAGCACGATCCATCTACGAGGACTACATTTCCATACTGTCACCAAAAGAGGTAGGAAAGCTTCCCACAGAGAATTGTTTATGGGGGTTTCTGACCGGGAGGGAGGCCGCTTTCTTTAAGGTCCCATGTCATGCTTTTCCGGTTATTACCCGTCCCCTTGTGTTATGTAGCTTTTTATGCATGTAAACGGTCTGCAGAGTCACAAACCCTCAAAGTACACCCTGTAGCCAGTAAAACTCTAACACAGAAAATACCTGTCTATGCTGCCCCAGAACGCCTCGTTGGGGATTTTTCTTTTTCCATTTTTTTCTTCCTGGTACCAAGTGACGTGACGACGATCCTAATGGACCGATTGGTCCAAATGGAGTTGCGCCGTGTCTCGCTGTCTTGCAGACCCCACGCAGCAACCAGGAAACGACACCAGTAATCCACCTCACACTGTCGGCTCCTCGAGTCTCAAAGGGCGGAGCAGCGAGCCCCGCAACGTCCCGCCAACCCCACGCAGCATTCTCATCTGTTTGTCATTGCTGGTGTCATTTTCTGGTTGCTAACAAATGCCATTGTAACACATAAACGCACATCAGAGCACAGTGGGCTCATAGGGAGAGCGGGGGGGGGGGGCAGGAGCTCCAACAAGCCGTTTAGGACAGAGAGTGAATACACATATTATACAGAGATGCTGTATGAGAAACCCATGTGAGTTTGGAACATTGAACAATGTACATCTATTCTAGTAGACCTCAACAATGGAATTATGATCAGTAGAAATGGCCATGACATGGGACCTTTAAAGGCCACCTATTATGCAAAATCCACTTGTTCATGTCTTTTCTTCATCAACATGCGTCCCCTCTGTGGAAAGAGACTCTGGACGTTTCAGGAAAAAAGATTCTCTCTCTTTTTGTCCTGATCCATTTCTATAAAAACCTGTCTGAAAATGAGCTGATCAGATTTTGGCCACTTTATGATGTCATGACGATTTTTTGGCTTGTGTAACCATCAGCCAATAACCAGCCAAGGTGGTCAGTGGTTTTGTATTAGAAAAGAAAGCAACCAATCAGATCTTGTTCTGGGTCTCTGGGTAGAATATCCTTCACCAAGGTATTCTACATCCTTGATAGGATGCCCTGGCCGTTGCACTGAATGAGAGCATACGTTTGGACTGACAGTTTGATCAACCAATCATATATTGATTTGTAGCCAATGGGCGTATTCTTTCAGAGTTTCCCCTCGGTTCCAGGGTATTCTAGAAGGCCCGCTAGTTAACTGGCTCGAGACAGAGGATCTAGATGAATGCGACGAAGCAATTCATGCAGTTTTATTGTTTTTAACGTTGAAATGACAAGTGCAACAGGTGAAGATGAAGTTGTTGCGGAATTGTTGTGAGTACCCTTTTCAAGACGACAATTCAGTGAAAAGACGGACATTATAATGCCGCAGGGGGTGTGTGTGTCTACAGAAGGTCCAGTTGTGATAGACAACGGTTCGCCACTGGATGCTGCCATGATCTGTTTGGTATTTGGAGCCAAACACTTCAGAGACATGTTTTGTGTATATCTGAGACCTATTATATATTGATGAAAAACAGTATAATAGGGGACAGTGATCCTTCCTCCAGCGCATGGTCATGTGTGATTCAGAGTGAGCACGAAGAGTAGACTCTATTCACAGATGGGTCAATGTGTTGCAAAAGAGAATCATTGTGCTGCACCCAGCTCTATGAGAAAATAAGATTCACTCATTTTTAATAATGAATTAAATCAGAGGTCTTACCTAACCCTAACTTAGTTTCAATGTTTTAGAACAATTACAAATAACACATTTAAAGAGATATTTGGTTGTGGTTCGTTTCAAATATCACTAAATGTTTTATTATGTTCTTTTTTTGTCAAAGATTTTTTGGAGATTATTCAGCAGTTGCAAATAGGAAACAGGAACGTTTGTTTTACTTTTTGATGTAATGACGTAGCTCCCTGGACACACTGTTCCCAGGGATGCAAAGTTTGTGTCATTGTTTGAATTCCAAAAGATTTTTGCTAATCACTTCAGGATGTTTAACTGCGAGGCGAACGTTGCTCAAGATCTCTTCTGGTGTCTCTTAGAAATGAGCTGGTTTTAATTCAGCGACCGACAGCGTTTTATAAACATATTCTTATGTAAGATCTGGCAGATGCATTTTGTTTTTCGCCGTCTGTGTTCTGTTGCCTCATCTGTGCCCGCCTGTCAGTCTGTCCAACATTTAGATTCTCAATAACTCAACAGCTCTTTACATAAAGTGTATTCTATTGATATGAATGGTGCTCGAGCTGAGGATTTCAAGCTGAGCCATCAGTAGGCTACGGTTTATACTTGGAAAACATTTGACTGAACATGTTCCTTCTCCCCAGATCATGAACCATTTTAATTGTTCTCTTACATTGTCATCTGGACAAGGAGAAGGGTTAGGGTTAACCGTTTAAGTCTTTCTTGCTGCATGGCTCCAGCTTCTTAAATGTGAAAATATGTTGCTTTTCCTCGTAATACGTCACTGTGCATTACATTCCTGTTGTCCTCGGATCAAATTTGACACATTTGTAAATGTTATTCAGTTGGAAGAAGGGGTTATTTCATCTTAATGCCGCAAAAATAACATGAATGATTCTTATTTCAGTATTCGGAAGACAAAGTCATGTTCCACACTTGAATTATTTGTTTAATTAAACACATAATTATAGCATCTGGTGCCATTACAAAAATCCTGACTTAACCTTGACATACACACGTTTTTGATAATCCATCAAGAAATGTACCAATAATCTCAACGATATAATATATATACATTTAGTTAGTTTGAGCTCTCTTCATCCACTGATACAACAAAACAATAAGGTTGAATATTCTGTAAATAACGTCAATTGACCATAAATGCCAAAAAGTAAAAGTTTGGATACATGTTACTTGAGAGGTGAAACACAGAGTTGGGTTATGATTATTTTAATAATTTGTCGAAACCAAGTCAAAGTTGTTTAAAGTCAAAGAAATCTGATGAAATCTACTTTAGCAGATTGTATTGTGAACAATCCCCCAGAGTTGATCGGAGGTCATTCAGAACACCTGTGGCTCCTAATTAAGAATTGAGAACAGCTTGGGGGCCTCCCCCTCTCAGCCAATCAGGGTGCGGCAACGCCCTTCCCTTGGGGTTTAAGATTAGAGGTGCACTCTCTGGGGCGTGTGATCCTTCCTCTACATAATGCACACTTCATTTCAGTAGATACAAAAAACTCTCCTCTTTTGAGACTTATTGGCTGTTTTTAACTTTTCTGATTGAGGCAAGGCAAGTTTATTTATATAGCACTTTTCAACACAAGGCAATTCAAAGTGCTTTACAAAAAATGAAAGACATTAAGAAAATGGCATTTAAAATCAGTCATTAAAAAGAAAAGCTAATAAAATAAACATTAAAAGAAAAAATATATGGATAAAAGTTAGTGATAAAAGTTACAGTGCAGTTTAAGATATGAATAGTTCAATTAAAAGCAGCGACAAAAAGAAAAGTCTTCAGCCTGGATTTAAAAGTAGTCAGAGTTGCAGCGGACCTGCAGGTTTCTGGGAGTTTGTTCCAGATATTTGGAGCATAATAACTGAACGCTGCTTTACCATGTTTAGTTCTGACTCTGGGGACAGAAAGCTGACCAGTCCCTGGAGACCTGAGAGATCTGGATGGTTCATAATTTAGCAGGAGGTCAGAAATTTATTTTGGGCCTAAACCATTCAAAGCTTTATAAACCAGCAGCAGTATTTTGAAATCTATTCTTTGACACACAGGAAGCCAGTGTAAAGACTTCAGAACAGGAGTGATGTGATCCACTTTCTTAGTGTTAGTGAGGACTCGAGCAACGGCGTTCTGAATCAGCTGCAGCTTCCTAATAGATTTTTTAGTGAGACCTGTGAAGACACCATTGCAGTAGTCGAGTCTACTGAAGATAAAAGCATGGACAAGTTTTTCCAAATCCTGCTGTGACATTAGTCTTTTAATCCTAGATATATTCTTTAGGTGATAGTAGGCTGATTTAGTAACTGTTTTAATGTGACTGTTGAAACTCAGGTCAGAGTCCATGACTACACCTAGATTTCTGGCTTATCTGTTGTTTTGAACATTGCAGACTGAAGCTCAGCGCTAACTTTTATACGTTCTGACTTGGCTCCAAAAACCATTACCTCAGTTTTATCTTTGTTTAATTGGAGAAAGTTCTGACACATCCAGTCATTGATTTGTTCAATGCACTTACTCAGTGTTTGAATTGGAGCATAGTCTCCTGGTGAAATTGTTACGTAAATGTGTGTGTCATCTGCATAGCTATGGTAACTTATTTTGTTGTTTTTCATTATCTGAGCCAGTGGTAGCATGTAGATGTTAAAGAGAAGAGGCCCCAAGATGGAGCCTTGAGGAACCCCACATGTCATATTTGTCCACTCAGATGTGTATTTACCTATAGAAACAAAGTTGTTTCTGTCCTTTAAATAGGATTCAAACCAATTCAGAACTGTTTCCGAAAGTCCCACCCAGTTCTCCAGTCGGTCTAGTAATATGCTGTGGTCAACAGTGTCAAACGCAGCACTGAGATCTAATAATACTAACACTGAAGTTCTGCCAATGTCTGTGTTTAAGTGGATGTCATTAAAGACCTTTACAAGAGCAGTCTCAGACCCCGGCCACACGAGGACGAAAACGGCTAAACGCATAGGATTAACGCAAACGCAATCGCAAAAAAGCTTCCGTCCACACGCAATAGTTATCTGGATAGTGTCTGTCTACACGAGACCGCTCCGTTTAGCTCCAACCGCTGGAGAAGCTGCAGTACATATGCAGGAGCCTGTACGTGGCGCTGTAACTTCCTCCACAAAAGCAGCGAAGAAGCATGGTTGTCATGGTTGCCCTTCTGTTTATTCTCCGCGGTGGGGGCCGAGGGAACCGGGCAGAGTTTTTCGCCAGTCAACGTGTATTAAAGTTTAAATCTTCCGACAAAATTATAGAAGTGCCGGTCAAAGGTCTTCTTTGTTATTTATTGAGCTTTAAAACAAATGAATAACGAATCTATATATTATAATAATAAAATACACGGAGCCTCTCTTTTTCCTCCCTCTCTTCGGACAGCGCCAGTGTCTGTTTCATGCAGCAGCTGATCCAGTAATGAGTGACCCGGCCGACAGTAAAAATAAACATATTTATAACTAGTTTAGGTAGTTTGAGAGGTGTCTCCGTCCTGTCAGATTAGACTTCACTCGCGTTTATGTCCATATCGAGAGAAAGAGAAATAATCTGAATTCAGTGTGCAGTTTACTTTAACGCGGGGGTGAGCAGCAGAGGTGGGGAGAGGCGGGGCTATTGCGCAATCACTATCAGAAAATGTTCGTATAGGGCGCACACACGGAGCCGTTTGACCCCCCCAGAGCGTTGCGTATGCCATTCTATCCACCTTGGGACCCGTTATCGTTTCCTCAGTCGTTTAGTGCCGTATTCGGTCGTCCTCGTATGGCCGAATGGTCTATATGACACTAAACAGTAACGCAAACGGCCGTTTTTCGTCCTCGTGTGGCCGGTGCATTAGTGCTGTGGTTTGGACGAAAGCCTGACTGGAACACATCGAAACAGTTATTTAAATGCAAGAAATTACTCAACTGTTGAAAAACAACTTTTTCAATGATTTTACCTAGAAATGGGAGGTTTGATATGGGCCTGTAATTGTTCATTAGTGTAGCATCTAGATTATTCTTTTTTAAGAGCGGTTTAATGACTGATAATTTTTTCAACATAACCAAGGTTGGTTTTTTTTTTTTTTTAAAGCCATCACATCACACTATAGGTTACTACCTGCATCAGAACAGATTCCAACAGAGTTTTATGATTGCAAGTATTTATTTAGTCAATTGGTTTATTTATTTATTTTTTAAGTAAGCACACATTTCCTATGGGTCAAAGTGCCATTTTTTTTTTTTTTGTGAAGGCATTCGTTTGTCCAATAATTGTTTTAGTTGTTGAGACCTGGTTTGTAGGCTTCTTCCTGTGGAAATCTCATGATTCAAAGATTGTATTTTCATATGCACAGGGCTACAGTGTAGAAGGGCAATGACAATCTTATGACCTGAGCTCCTCCAACAATCCAACAAATAAAATACAAAAAATAATCTGCAAAAGAAGTACCACCACAGCTGTCTAGATCACAAGCCAAATATAAAACAAATGTATTCATTTGAAGGATAAACCAATAATTAGGGAATTAAGTTTCTGCCCCACATTAATATGATTCTATCCAATACTTTCTAATAGTATTAAAACTGCAGCCTCTGTTGTTCTAAAAATGCCCTGTGTTTAATGTCTCTGATGCTTCTTCATCTCAATTCATCTTTGGTGCCGCTGCACATTTACAGGTTTTGATTTGTCAGCTGTTCTGCACGTGCTCAGCATTCACACTAAAACCCTCCTCATGAAATGTGAATCCCCGCTGAAGTGATTATTGCTGGCTATAAACGGAGACACACTGTAGTTTACACACACACACAGGGAATTTGTTAGCGCTTTTCTGCTGAGAAATGTAGCAAGCGGTTTCTGCTTCACAGCTATTTTTAACTTACTGACTGACTGTGAGTGTGCGCGTGTTTAACAGTGACTGCTTTATTTAGTCCAAGAGCTGGAGGCTTTGCTTGTCAGGCTCCATCCTCAGTGTGTGTGTTGGCATCTTCAGACATTTGTGTGTTTGTATGTACAATTGTCTGAATGTGTGTTTGTGTGTTTACAGAAAACGATAAATTGCTGCTCTCACCTCCTGGCAGTGGAGGCTTTTTATAGACTCACACACATTAAAATACAGAGATATGAAAACGTGTGAGTTTGGCAGAGAAGATGCATGCCAGGCGGTCTGTCTGCGTGCCTGACCTTGGGTGTGTGTGTGTGTGTGTGTGTGTGTGTGTGTGTGTGTGTGTGTGTGTGTGTGTGTGTGTGTGTGGTGTGTGTGTGTGTGTGTGTGTGTGTTTGTGTGTGTGTGTGTGTGTGTGTGTGTGTTGTGTGGTGTGTGTGTGGGTGTGGTGTGTGTGTGTGTGTGTGGTTGTGTGTGTGGTGTGGTGTGTGTGTGTGTGTGTGTTGTGTGTGTGTGTGTGTGTGTGTGTGTGTGTGAACAGAGGGAAAACATAAGAGATAGCTTGTCATTCTATAAATATCTGCGGTTGTGTCGAGGCTGTGGGGCCACTCTTGTGGTTTCAGTGCTGGTTCCTGTATGTAATCATACCTGGAGTTTCATTAGTAACACAAAACACCTTCAATATGTGCAGATCTGACAGATGTATAAGTGCAGTTTGCAATTTTTAAAAAACATTATCTACTTGTTCTCATTATAAAACCAGTGTTAAAGGTGGGGTAGGTAAGAATGGAGAAACCAGCTCGAGTGCGCTAGAGTTTGAAAAAATCTGCCCCTTCCTTCAGACTTCCTTACAGAGCCCCTCCTCCAACACACACGAACGCGCACGAGATACGTTTGTGCACAGATGGAAGGCTGACAGGCAGGTCGGCCATCCAGTTATTTTAGCCGAGCCGGCTCAGATGATTGGTCGTGCTTTTTACAGCGCCACGGCTTCCACATATGAAATGTTTGTATGTATTTATTGTCAAAGCATTTAATATATTCATTGCTATCGGGATGTTAAGAGCATTCCATGGAATATAACAAAAAGTGTTTCTGAAGTGAAAATATCAAGTATATCTTTTCCTTAACCTCATCTTACTTCATTACCAAGGTTGGAATTAAAATTCGATATAAAAAAAGGAAGTGAAACTAAATGGTTGCTGCCGGTGCTCTCCCTCACCGCACTGTCCATGTTTTTAATCCACATAAATCCCAATTAGAAGTATTATTGTATGGAAATAGTTGAATATAGATAACTAAATGCAACATATGCATCACATCTTATCTATGCATATCCCCATTCAAATGTGTTGAAATCTATATAAATAGTTTAATTAGACTTAATTTAATGATTTTACAGCAGTAGTTAGCTGATCGTCCATAGTTCGTCTTTTGGTTTGACAAATTGTTGTGAAAGTTAGCCTATAAGCACCTCGGCAAGATATGGCATACGATGAAAAATGCTTGATAAACACGGGTAACTCCTATGATCCAGATGTCGATTACTATGGGTTGTATTCATGACTGGTCAATGGTGCGTCACTTTAAATATTCTGACCGCAAGGAATTGTGGGATAGCATTATCTCCTATCCTTTCGCAATGTGTGGTCCAATGTGTCCTATGCTGAAAGGGGTTCATATAGGAAGCGTTGAAGCTCCTTTACTGTCCTCTAGAGATTTGAACAGTTCTTATCATTCAGTACAGACATTTTTACTATCAACCTAAATGTATGCTGATACTAATATTATAATCAAAGTGTTAATAGACCAGCCTCATATTTAAAAAGATTGTCAAGTGTCTCTCTTACCACTAATTCCTACAGTTGTTTGTTTTTAGAAAGTTGTGATGGTTGAGGTGAAGATGAATATGAATATGCTAAAACATCAAATGCATGAATTTATGAATCCCCTCTCGTCACTAAACTCCTCTGCCTCTCCCTGCAGGTGAGCCTGGACGCCCGGGTTCGAGAGATGATCAACAGGAAGAGGCAGAACCCGACGCCTCACGTGTTTGAAGACGCCCAGCTCCAGATCTACACTCTGATGCACCGGGACTCCTACCCACGATTCCTCTCCTCCAGCATCTACAGGTCGCTCGTTCAGGGCGGCTCGCGCACCTCCTCCGAGTCCTAGTGCCGCCTCCTCCTCTTCCTCTCCCGGTCCTGAGCTCACAGGATGGATGCCAGATCATTTCATCGCTTCTCTCACACACTCCTCCCTGTACCAAACTTTCCAAAAAAGATCAGACGACTCCTCACTCCATTTCAACAAATCCCAAATCTCTCCGATTACTGCCAAGACTTTCTTTTCATTTCTTGTTTATTCCTCAACGTTTAGTACCGTTGCCAATAACTCCTTTTTCTTTTCTCTCCAGTTTGTTCTCATTCAATCTTTTCTTACATTACTCTGATCCTTTCTCCCTCCCATTCCCATCCCATGTTACAGTAGTATTGCAATGATATAAAAGAAAACCACAATACAGATAATACAATGTTGTGTAATCAAAACAATATTCTAAACATATTTTATGAATACTTTAAAATAGAAAATTGTTATCATGAAAACAAGTCTGAAATAGTATCAGAACTCGATTCATAGCATTTTTGTTAATTTCATTTATTAGGCCAATACTGATATTGAAATAAAACAAATCCGATAATGCATATTTCAACAAACACATTAGGAAACATTTTAAAAAGCAAAATAAATTGTGGTCTGATAAATACCATATTTCTTTCTCTGATAACAGTATTGATAAAAACCCTTAACAAATTACATATATCTGCTAATTTTAAATAACACTCTACATAAACACGTTTTTATTATAAGGGTCCCTTAAATGAGTTTTAAACTGGAAACATTATTAAAACATTTTTACTGGCCATGTTGTTACTTCCACCTACATCCTTCTATTTAACCTTACAACCTATTTTTCTACCTAAGGACATCTCCTCCTTCCTCATTACCTCACCTTTTCTCTCTTTTTGACCTTCTTCTAAACAAAAAGAAATATGTATTGGGATATGTGGGGATTCACATGATTACTTGGGAGACTTTAATGCATTTCAATGGGAAAAATACACACCTGTGCCATGGATCCTAAGTGGATTTTTACATATTAGCCCCGCCCCTCATGCCGTCCAATCACCTTTCAGAGCCAGTTAAAGGTGAATGTTCCTATCCTCCGCCCACCTCATCACCTGGTTTTCCTCCTGTGGTTTCGAGAAAGGCGACAGAAAAAGATGGATGCTGTCTGATTCCTTTCTCTCTTTCAACTGGAAAACACAGGGCGCTCCCTTCAACCCCCGCGACAAACCACAACGAAAACGTGTGTTGTTTGCTGTTTATTTATCCACTCGTTTGCTGGCTCAATCATTTCACTCCTGCGATAAACAAAAAGGACAAATGGATGGATGTCAATTCCCTCCGACTACTGATTTACAAACAGACAAGACGTCTATTTTTTAAGAGAAAACTATACGGAACATTTCAATTTTGTTGATTTTCTTTTTGTTTCTTGAATTCTCCCACTCTGACCCCTTCCTGGATTCTTTGCAAAAAAGAGGAAAACAATTCTCTTAGAGTGTACTGATCCCCCACCCTACACAACACCACAGACACACACACACACACACACACACACACACACACACACACACACACACACACACACACACACACACACACACACACACACAGGTGCAATAAACACTGGAGTTTGGAAAACACACACACATTTACACAGTTTGTGTTACTATATTTCAGAGGATCTTTACCTCATCTTGTAGGGCTGCTCGATTATGGCAACAATCATAATCTCGATTCTGTGGGTCAATAATTGATATCACGATTATTAAAAACGATTATCCATTATCCATCCTTGATAACATCAATTTATTGAAAAACATTTTTTGAACAGTATGTTTTTAACAGTTGATTACCCTGAACTTTAAGTATAATTCAACTGAAAAACCAATAAAAGAAAAAAAAAATTAATACAAAAAAAAAAAAAAACGTTTTATTTTGATTATGTTGTTTTCCTAATCGTTGCAAGCCAACATCGTAATTGCGATTAAAATACGATTAATTGAGCAGCCATATCATCTTGCTAAATTAAACCCTCACATGATATGACCAAGCCTACCAAAGTAACCGTTACAGTATCATGTAATATCTCACAATCCACTCTGATCCATTCAGCTGTAAAGAAGTACTGCACCCTACAGTCTGTTACTGTTGAAATACAGCAATCTTGTATTCATATTGAGTGCAACACACCCTCCAAATGGTATATTGTCCAATATTTCTCAAAGGCCTGGGTGACCTTTTTTTTTAATGGCTCGAATGGCTTTAAATAATGAGATAATTCTATTTTTTTCACTATTAATTGATCTGCTCAACAAAAGTCAAATTTGAAAATTGGCAGCTTTTTGGTATTTTAAATTACTTTTTAATATATTTTCTGTGCCATTTGGCTTGATTAATACGATTTTGAAAGGATTTTGAGAGTTTTATTGCTTAGAAACGATGATAAAAGACCTCTAAAGTTCCTTAAAATGATTGTTAAAGTGGTCCTAATAAGTATAGTAATGCAAAAAGCACTCAAACACACACACACACACACACACACACACACACACCAGGGTGGCCTACCTGGGCACTGCTGCTGCTGACCTCTGCCTCTGTGACCTCTCACCTTGACCTCACCACTGTCTGTCCCACTCGGACGCCTGCTCCTGATTGGCTGCAGGAGGCTGCAGGGCTGAACTGTGGTTGGTCAATTCAGGAAGGGGGGTGGGAGGAAATCCCAGGTGCAAAAAAATATAAATATATATAGATATATTATTGAAAAACAACTAAGAAAAAAAATATATAGAGAAAAAAAATATGTTATGTGAGATGGGATGCTTACACCCAGTGCTTCATGGGAAATGTAGTTTGAGGAAAATGTGTGTAGTTGTCTGCGCAGGCAGAAACAACAGATTCAAAAAAAGAGATGCCTAGATCTTAACCAGACTGGTGACTCGGAATGCATTTATCTTAGTATTGTTAATGTTATTTATTTTATATTTTGTTAAAACTGTGATTTTAATTGTACATATATAAACGGAGACCCTTGAACATCCAATGAGAAGCGGCCTCGTTTGTTCTGTGTTTGTGTCTTCAATTTATTTCTTATGTCTCAACTAGGAATCAACTCTCTGCTCTGCCATCGTCCATGCCTATCGCTACCCAGCATTTGATACTGGATTTGTAAGGCAGATACAAATACCTATGTCTGGTATTTTATATAATCCTATCGAAGCATTTTGGCCAACATGTTTTTTTACATAAATGCACAACAAGTCTTGAGATAGATCCTTTCAGGTAAAGCGGTTCAAGTACATTCACTTCTCTAATGTGAAACTGCAGTTTGAGTTTGAACTGAAAGTGAACATGAACTGAGTGAAGAGAGACAGAGCTGTTGACTCTTTGTTGATACTCCCAACACTCAGTTCCTAAAGGAAACCACCATACACACACACACACAGGTTTGGAGTTTGTGTGTGGGTGTCTGGTCTTGTTCCACAGTTCACTGTAACTTGATATGTTTGTGTTTGGAAGTAGTTCTCTGTGACACATACACTTATTTAGTATAGACACACTCATACCTCCATTTCTCACACAAACACACTCTCCCACACTTAGATTTCTTTATCTGTCCATCCATGTTTCTTTCCCAGCATTCCTCTCTTTCGCATGCGTTGATGGACACTGATAAACTTCACTTCTCCTATCGCTTTCAGAAACGCACGGTTTAATTCACATGCTGAGGGCCTTTTTTACCTCCTCTGCTTCCAAGTTACCCAAAACGTAATATTTACTTACTAAAGCACTTGCTATTAAATGAAGATTAGTCACTTAAAATAATAGCCTACTACACCAGAGTCAAATGGATCTTAAATTTAACATGTTTTTATACCAGCTGCACAAAGTAAAGTTAGTAAATTCCAATATGTCCTGGAAAAAACATACTAATTGTAAGTACAATTGAATAAATAAATGCTATGTTCACATTTTCTTTAGCGTTTAAAGGTCCCATGTCATGCTTTTCTGGTTATTACCCGTCCCCGTGTGTGTTAGCTTTGTATGCATGCACTGTAAAAAAAAAACTCGTAAAAAAACGGTCAAAGTACTGGCAGCAGCGGCTGCCAAACAAAAACCCTTAAATAAAAGTAAAATACTTTAACTGAAATAAAGTGAAAAAGCCATTCATTTACGGGAATTGTCCTTTAAGATTTTACAGGACAATACTGTACTTTTACAGATGTATCTCCTCTTTTTACAGTCAACAACCTTTAATAAAAGTACAGCACTAATACTTTAACGTGCAAATACTCTAATTTTACAGATGTATCTCCTCTTTTTACAATCAATAACCTTTAATAAAAGTACAGCACTAATACTTTAACGTGCAAATACTCTAATTTTACAGATTTATCTCCTCTTTTTACAATCAATAACCTTTAATAAAAGTACAGCACTAATACTTTAACGTGCAAATACTCTAATTTTACAGATTTATCTCCTCTTTTTACAATCAATAACCTTTAATAAAAGTACAGCACTAATACTTTAACGTGCAAATACTCTAATTTTACGGATTTATCTTCTCTTTTTACAATCAATAACCTTTAATAAAAGTACAGCACTAATACTTTAACGTGCAAATACTCTAATTTTACAGATTTATTTTCTCTTTTTACAGTCAATAACCTTTAATAAAAGTACAGCACTAATACTTTAACGTGCAAATACTCTAATTTTACAGATGTATCTCCTCTTTTTACAATCAATAACCTTTAATAAAAGTACAGCACTAATACTTCTACGGGTAAAAAAATCGTAAAAAAACGGTCAAATGACTGGCAGCAGCGGCTGCCAAACAAAAACCGTAAAATTAAAGTAAAAATACTTTAACTGAAATAAAGTGCAAAAGCAATTAATATACAGAAATTGTCCTTAAAGATTTTAGTGGAAACTTTACTCTCTTTTCAAAATCCATTGTCTTAAAATGGTACATTCAAATACCTTAAACAAAGTTCTGATGAGAAAAACTTTTTATTAGATTTGTATGATCAAACTCTAAAATAAATACAGAACCTAAAGTTCTACAGCTAGAATACTGTTATTTTACAGCTTTTTTCTAACATTTTCCAATCAAACAGGTTCAATAAAATGACATCACAAAATGTTCAGTAGGAAACAATTACTCTGAAAACTTTAAATATAAAAATATTTGTAGAATTATAGTACAAATAATGAATACAGCATTTAATATTTAAACACCATACTTATAAACAGTAGAAACAAAAAGTAAGTTTAATTTTTTTAAGAGTACTTTGAAACATTCTCAACTGAAAATAACAGAAATT